TGACACAAAATGTCTTAAATTTGCCTTCGTGTTGTCGATTACGTATGACTATGCATCATGTATTCAGCAAATACACAGCAACTAGTTGAAAACTTCAGCTCAGCATTAAGTTACATGATTTTGCAAAACATGCTTGGCTATCAGGGTATATTTGTCCGTTTTCGACATATTGTATTTTGCTGAAATTTATGACACGTGTTGTTGGCATGTTGCTCTTTATGTTAGTGATAAACCGTTGACAGCAAATACACAGCAAGTTGTCGGCAACACATGTTGAATATGTGTCATGTCAAACCAAAAACAAATGCCTGACTCGCCTTGTTTTAAATTTGCTGAAAACTCAAGCGTTTTGTTTTCGGCAACATGACAGCAAAAACGTAGACAGGTGGCTATCAGAGCAGTTTTACAGAACGGAGTTTGCGGAATGTCTATGATTGGCCGGAATTAATTCCGTAAATTCTGCATTACGCACGTTCCGCACTATTTGACTTCTCCCTGAGTCACAACTGCACCGAACCAAACCAGGTTGGGTTGGGTTAGATTAGGTTTTTTTGGTGGATGCAGAGGGGCGCAGCCCTTTGCCTAACCGTTTACAACACAAACAAAAAGAACGTAAAAAAGTCGATCTAAGCAAAATGTAACGTTTACATTTTGCTGAGATCGACTTTTTAAAAATGTTTTTCTTGTTTGTGTATATATACCCCAATAAGCAAATTGTGAAAATATTGCACAAAAATGGCATCATGAATGACGACGATTTTGCAATGATTGCATTAAGATGATTCGCCATAACATCTTTGTCAAAAATTAGAGAAGAGTCGTTACGCCTTTCCATAAGTATATACATGAATTAATTTGATTTCTTTATATGCAATTATATTTCTACATATTTTAAACATTACATAGCTGAAATTTGTTTCTCAATTATTGAACAATTTCTTTTTGAAATTAATTTTGCAAACATACTGCTAAGATGATTCGTCATATCGTTATTAGTTTGCCGAAATAGTATTTGGAAATTTATTTTGCAAACAGTTACAAATATTTTATAAAAGATCAATATTTTTACATCTATTTCTCAAAATATATCTACATAATTGCAAATCACAATTTTCATGCAAGATTTTGTCACAATTTCATAAATGTTTGCCTATCGAGATATACATACATATATACGTGTGTGTGTGTATCACATAATGTATGTATTAGATGTATACAGCGTGTCCCAGAATTGGTTTAACATCTCTCGTAGGCAGATAGAAGGAATAAAACTGAGGTGAAAAGTCCTATACCATTTTGCTAGATTCGCAATAGTTACTGAGATTTTAATTAACAAAGATCCGCGAATAAGCATGCATCGGGCTGTCTTACGCGCGTAANACTGCCCGCCGCGCTTCGCGCGCTAACGGTGTTACCCATAGCGACATATGGGAGGAGCTAATATAACAGCATATACTATAACATATACATATTAAAATATAATCGTGTGAAGCACGCCGGGCTGTCCTACGCGCGTAAGACAGCCCGATGCACGCTTATTCGCGGATTTTTGTTAATTAAAATCTCGGTAACTATTGCGAAATCTAGCAAAATGGTATAGGACTTTTCACCTCAGTTTTATTCCTTCTACCTGTCTACGAGAGATGTTAAACCAATTCTGGGACACCCTGTATATATCTATATTTATGCATTTGAGCACACACTGTGCACAAAACATATACATATATTTATCGAACAAAAATGTTTATTTTTGACATTTAATATAGGAAGTTGTCTATGTTCCATTTTATTAATTGGTTTTTACTACAGTCAAATCTCGATAAATCGAATCTCAAGGGATGAGCTAAAATCTTTGAGTTGTAAAGGTTTCGACTTATCGAAGTGCCTTTTTCCTTTCCGCGGAGCGGAAGTAAGTGAACAAAATTTTCGTATTATAGAGGTTTTCGAGTTATCGAAGTTTGACTGTATATATAACTAGAAACTAGACTTGTCCAGGTTTAGGCTTGTAAACTAAAAGACTGTCTATCTAAATTATCAACAAAAAAGAGTAAACATAAGTGTGTACAGATATGCGTAAGAATGTTTTACAAAAGCGAAGCAATAACAACGTTACGGTATGATATGGAATTTTTTCAACTCGGTAAATTCGGCTTTCTAAACACAAATTACTACTCAATGTTAACATATAAGTATGAATGTAAAGATAATATATTTAAAAATATTTCTTTTTAAACACATTTAATGTGTCAACTCGCGCGCTTCTCTTTTTGTTTTTTAAGTATTTCTAGAGAAAAAATATTTGTTTATAAATTATACTTAAATATCTATATCTTTTCGCAATCGACAGTTTTCGTTATATGTGAAAACAAGAAAATCTAATTTTCTTTTTCAACTCTATACAGAATTTTTTTGTCTGTATTTAGTTTTTTAATGGTCAAAAAGTTTTGTACAGCATACAGAAAAAAACAATACTATCTGTGTATACATAAGAATCTAAACTTGAGGTCTTATTTTAATATTTAAATACTTTTTTAAAAATAAATTTATTATCAAGAACAAAAACAAGCAATAGAGTGCAAAATAATGCGTATAATTCAAATAGAAGTTTGCTAGTAGCGTAGAATAACATCTCTTCGTGATACATAAATATATTAGCATAAGATGTTTGTCTATTGTGTAATACAAATGATGCGTAAGAATGTGCTCTATTTATGCGATAATAGTGAGAAAATTTAGATACAATATCTAAATACTAATCACATATTCTTTACTGTATATCTTATTTTATGTTTATACATTGTGTAACTTGCGTTTGTTGCAAACTACAATTATTAGATGTAACAATTTTTCTTCATGAGTATATTTTCTTAAGTATCCGCTATATATAGAAGTATGTTAGGAGGGGGATACATTCTTATATTTCTTCTGCACATTTCTTGTTTTTTGCACGCAATATGCATTTTTATGCTAAAAACAATTTCATAAACATTAAGTCACATTTCTATCGCATTAAACGGTTGTTAACACATTAAGAAAAACTGAACTCAGCGTTTCTTTCACATTTTTATTCGTCGAGACTCATATAAAAACTAAAACACATATCGTACGTATCTTACAGAACTAAAATCAAACAAAATTAGATTACTTTTTTTGTATAAAGTAAAAATAATTTGTAAAATTTATGTTTTGTTCTTTTATAGTTTATATTACTTTTACTATATCCAATCAGATATAGTAAGTTATATTGATATTTGTGTATTGAGTCTCGGCGATAAAAAAATTTATATGTAAACTTCTACGTATAAAAGTTTACATATAAGCGTACATATATGTATATAAATAATAGGATTTTCCACAAACTTGCTTGAAGTTCTACTACTCAAAAAAAAAGTTCATACATATTTACAACAATGTTTGTGAGAACTACACGAGTGTCACTTGTACGCGCCTTTATCTCATAGTTGTTTCTTCTCTTTTTTCTTTCTATCACTTTTATTAAAATTAAAGTATAAAATATTAAAAACTTTGTCTATAATAATATTTATAATTCATTATGCGGCACGTTCTCAGAATATTACTTTTGACGAAGTATTTACAAACACTAAATCAAAAATCATCATTGAATATTATAAGACTGTATTAATGTTCAATTTAATCGTAAACTGCGCAAGATACAGAATATATTGAAATTTAATCTACGATTTTCTTATTTGAATTGTTTAATATAATTGTAGTTATTAATCTTCTAACAGCGGACTAGTGGAAAATTTTTTATCTTTTATTTGATAGTTAAGTGGTCCAAAATGATTTTTTACCAAGATATTATCAAAATTATAAGTCAAAAATGAAAGAATAATCCACTGTCAGAGTATTAATCAATATATTGTATAGTTCATACATATACATACACACACGCGCGCGCGCGCGCGCACGCATCATTCATATATATATATAGCTCTTGCAAAAAGACATGTGTTGTGACGAAAAGAGTCAAAAATGGTATTACTATGTTTAAAATAGATATGATTGTAATATGAGACAAGATGACCGAAAGAAAAAATAGTATTCTCAAATCTCTTATTTAAAGTTTTAGAGCTACTCAGTAGATGACGAAGTGGATGACGAAGTAGACGATGTTCGGCTGATTGGTTGTCCTGTTCGATTTGCTTCATTTGCTGCCCTATATACACATACATTCACTACTGAATTACATATCAATGCATATTGATGTCACAATTGTTACAAAATTATGTCTTGGGTATCTTCTTTTAAAAATGTTCGCCACATTTAAATATTTCAGAATTTTTAAAAAAAGTTTTTTAACACTAGAACTACCAGCCAGTCAAAATGACTGGTTTTAAATTTTTATTTAAAAATTACTCAAATTTATGATATTGCATTTCAGAAATTTTTTGATTTTTTTGCAATATATAAAGAAATAAATTTATCAATTTGTTATACAAAATTTCTAAAATGCAAAGCCATTAATTTGAAGAATTTTTAAATGAAAAGTTACAATCAGTCATTTTGACTGGTTGGTAGTTTTAGTGTTAAAAAACTTTTTGCTTCGGTAGTTCTAGTGTTACTAATATGTACCTTAAAAAAAAACATATAAATTCTTATCATATATAAACGTACCTAAATAAAGCGGCAAAACTAGACCCAGCTAAGGTGTTTGCAGTATCTTGAGTAGTTTCACCTGGGTTTTGATTTCCTAAATTTTGTCTGCAGATAGGACATGTTCCGTGCTTGAACGAAAAGAAACAAAAATTCTAAATTAGTAAGATTTACTTATTGGTAACACGTCATACACGCGCGCGCGCACACACACAAACTTAATAACAGTTACCAATTCCAACCAGGGTACAATACAAGGTGCATGATAAACATGTTGACAAGGAAGTTGTCTGACAGGTTCTCCCAACTTGAAGTCTTCCCAACAAACAGAACATTGAAGTTTACAATCTATACAGGAAAAAAAGCATATGCACTCAGGTGTTCTTTTAAATTCTTACTAACTTTTGTAGTTTTTTTTGTAGTTTAAACTTTTTAGTAATAAATATGTAACGTTTTAGCTTTAAAAATTATAATGTTTCAGATATACATAATTATGCTATAATAATGCTTACCAACTTGACTTTGTGATATTGTAGTGGTAGGTATTTCATCAATCTGCTTGCGTGGTAATGGTGGAGGGCCAGTACCATCCATTTGATTCAATAATTGGGTAACAATAGCATCTAATCCATCACGACCCCATACATAATCTCCAGGATTTCCCAAGAACAGTCTAATATTGAATCTATACATTATTTTGTTTTATTATAGTAACACTACAATTATATAAAATTATGTATGGATCCTATATGTACTTCCATAGACTTTCTGAATATTTTCTATTCTCAAGACTGTTGGAAAAGTATGTTAAAAGCGATGATCAAGTTTTGATGAAACTTCAAAAGAAAGTATATACTTGCACATATTCTAGCAAGTACATGGTTTGATCAAATAAAAAGTCGCGCATTTACATAGAAGTTGCTCCTGATGCGATTTTGTATAGTCATTTTGTTTGAGAGTAATAGCGGTTTTTGTAATTCAAATTTTTCTACTTCAGCAATTTTTAAAATGGAACTAATTGAAAAACAGCACATCTGTGAAATTTTGTTTTAAACTTGAGACGACAGTGACAAACATATGAACTTTTGAAAACGGTCTTTAAAAAAGATACTCTGAGTCAGATCATATTTTGAGCTCAAACGCTTTCGAATAGTTTAATCTTAAAAATTGCTAAGGTGAAAAACTTTGAATTACAAAAACCATCATCACTCTCAACAAAATGACTTTAGACAACGTAAAACAGCAATAAACACTCACAGCTAAATATATTGCAATACTTTGTCATTATTTTCTTTCTTCGCTTATTAAAGAGGAACATCCCCATCTCTCTGTTATTTGATCAAACCACGTATGTATATAATATACCTATATATAAGTGAGTTTACTGTGAAATATATTCATAAAACATATAGGCCAGTTGTTTTGATTAACTTAATCAGCAGATTATTTTACACAAATTAATAATTGTATTGGTCGATTAGCCGAATTGACGTTTAATTAATGCTTGATTCTTAATCGATCGAGTAACTTAAGGCTCATCGATAACAGCTGCAACTATCTTGAATTATAACATAAATTACAACTTTACTTTGTTAGCAACTTTAGATATATATTTTCTCGTTTTTGATATCCAAAATGATTAAGCAAATATTGAGAAGCTTTAATTGGAAATAATATAAAACTGATTTTCAAAATATTATGCAAACATTGGCACATGTTGTCAATGTTCACAAAAAATATACATTTCTATTCTATATCCTGTGATGTGAGTAAACAATTGTCACATAAAATAACTTACACAGATGGTTGGGTATCTTGTCCTACAGAGTGGCCTAGACTTGCTGCTCCTGATAGATTCAAAATAAAATCTTGTATAAAATGCTCTATAGGCACTTGTAGATTCTCTTGTCTTCTACGATTGCTGCTTTAGATTAAAAAAAAAAAAATTATCAACACTTTTATTACTTTTATGAACAGTTTAATATCTTCACAAATGTTTTAATAATGTAACAGAAAAGAAAAGAAATGAATATACCTAGTGCTGCGACGTCCATCTTGAAAAGAACGAAATCTTCTTCTACTTCCAAGCATACTGTTTCTATTAGCACCACTTGGTTGTTGATTGGTATTTGACTGTTGATTAGTATATGTATTTGATAATCCCATTATCATTTCTATTATATCAGAATCACGATCTGTGCGCTGTGAGGACTATGTCAAAAAAGTATTTACATAATAATTGTATATTTTTAACATTAAGCGCCACGTCACCGATGACTTACAGTAAACTTTTAATTCAAGCTGCCAGTCATCAATGACCGACAATAAGAAAATGTAGAGAAGTAACACTGCTATTAAAAATATATTATTTTAATTTAAAACAAAAATGTCATATATATATATATATATATATTTCTGTACACAATGTAACAATAACTAATTAATTGAATCATTCTCTGATAAAAATTCTGAGTCAACTGTGGGTTTTAGTAAATCAAAAACATCTTACTTGATGAATCATTTTTATATCTGTTTTGTAATGACAATTTTTTTGTTCTTATAGATAAAATATACTACTAGATTGAGCAAACTTGCATAATACACACGCTGCTCTATAAAGACTGCTCATAGCTCATGTTTTTTTACACATGATGCACTTTATTGCATCACTCAGTTTGGCGATATTACATAAATAGAAAGATAAACACAATTGGCTTGGCGCTTAATGTTACAAACATAGAGACTTTAAAAGAAAAAAGAATGTAATATTAAACTAATTTACTCACATATCCCAAGATATCAACATCCACATCGCTCATATCTTCACTATTAACTTCCATGCCAGAACTTCCTTCATTGCTGCTACTTTCTAGCTCTTCAATGAAACCACTTGCACATTGCGGACATGTGTAATTCTAAATAGAAGTAGAATTATCATACAAATCTGTTATGTAATTATATTATATTACTCTCGTCTACTCTATTATTTTTTAAGAGATCTGTACTAAGAGATTTAAAACTGTCTAAAAAATATATGTGTCTTTGTATATGTGATATGTATGTGTATATGTAATACTTATGTTAAATGAATAATAATTTTACATATATTACATATCATATATTTTATGCTCTCTGTAGGTCAGATCTTGATTTTAAAGTAAAGACAGTGTTTTTAAAAATTTGTCAGTTTATCAAGGCATAAAGTAAATAAAATAGATTTCACTCAATAATATATTTATTGCATTATATTTTAACTCTATATAATTTTCTTAAATCTCAAGTGTATAAAACAAAGCAGTTTAAATTGCATAGTATATGCATATGTATTTATTTAAAACAGCTGAAAGGTTAATCAAAATATTTAACACATATGTATATACAGTATATATATAGTATGCAAATGTACGAATGTGTGTGTGTGTGTATATATACATATATATGTATGTATATGCATTATGTATTCCACAAACAAAACTACAGTTGTATGAGATAAATATAAAACCACTATTATAAACTTTCTACATTTTCAGAAAGTGATATAATTTGATAAACTAAAATAATAAAGAATAGATCACTAAATACTGTGTTTTGTAAAAATAAATTGAAGAAAGACATTTTACATATGATAGGGGTTCATTTTTTGGTCACGTAGAAATGTTTCGTTTTGACATATTTCCAACGTTATATAGATACTAAGATTGTGCAAACATAAATAAGTGTTATAAAACTACTACAAATTACTTACTGGTAACAAACGCTCAATTTCGACACTGCATTTGTGGCAAAAAAATCGGGACATCGGAGTCCCGTCTACAACGGCCTCCGCCATCTTCTATCTATCTCCTCACCATCCTCACTTCCTCTAAACTGCCATTAAATTTTCCAACGATGAGTATGTATATAGCATATATATATATATATAATAAATGGTCACTAATTATATATACAAACCAAATATGTGATAGATGTCGCATCGCATGGCTGCTTTCAAAACTCAGGGCTGCTTTCGAATCACTATATTACACTCGATTCAATTAGAGAAGAGAATTTCGACAAACAAAAACTCGTCCGTTTCGCACACCTCCTTTAAGGTCTATCTACGTAAGACGCAGACGCAGGTCGCAGTGTGACCGGAGCTGCACTCTTAGGTGTCCGGCCTAACCCTTTTATTATAATTTTCACCTTTTTTACTTTTTATTTTCACGGTCGCAAGCCGGGTTTTCTATACTCCCGACAAGATTTGTTTATTAACACGCATTTACTTACAGGTTTTCCCGGGTTTTCCCTGATTCGGACCTCCACGCGGAACGTATCACCTTTTCGCCTGTCTCCGTCTTGGTATTTCGCCGTCCTTGCCGTCGAATAAGCGGCTCAATTTGTTTCGGCACTTACCTGGTCATTGGCACGATACGTGTTACCTCGATGGCCCCTCCAATCCGAGCAGAGTCCCGGTTATCCAGTTTGGAATGTGCCCAATAGCACGTCTCTTCGCACTTGATGGTTCTATTGCTATCCTGGTCTGGTTTCCTAAAGCCTCCCCTTGATTATCCACGCCGTTTCTGACGTTTGTTCCTTGATAATACGGTGAGGGTGAAATGAAACGGTTCAGGACCCTTCTGTTGCACTTAGTTTTTATTAATAACTCGTTCACGTAACTACACAGTATATATATATAAACGCGTACACTATACGTTGTCAAACGCGCTCTTCTCACTGTGGGGTTTCAAACCCTTTGCTCTCAGTGTGAACAAACCCTTCTCAATTTAACAAACCAAAGTCCAGCTTTCTTATTGGCCCGGGCCTCGTCGCCGATCTAGTGACACGATTACCTTTATCCTTATTCGCGATCGAATGACTGACCTCGTTCTCGTCGGGCGCTCGCAATATATAGGTCTCTCTTCCCCCCCTGCTCGCACAAGACCCGATCTTTCCGGAACGCCCCGGATTCTGGAAGGTTCTAGATCTTCTCTTTTCTCGAGCCTTCTGGAGCCTCCTATTCTAGTCCGCACTTATTCCGCTCGGGATTGTTCTATCACGCTATCAATTATTGCTATTATATATATATGGTTTTATTCGTATTCCCGCCACCGATTTACAAAAGCCCTTTTTTTTTTCTTTTTAAACCCTAACGCGCTTACGTGTCTATATTTATTATTATTATTTTTTTTTCTTTATAACTTTCATTAATATCTATTGTCCATAGTTCTTATAGTTCTCGATCCTTCCAGAATGGATCGTTTCCCTCTATCGTGGTACATTCGGATGCGTCCGACTGTACCTCGTTTGCCGTCGCCGGCTGATGCGCCCGAATGTACATGAGGATCCGATCCAACTGCGCCTGCGCCTCCGCCGAGCTGTCCTCACCAGATGCGCGCGCCTCGGCTTCTTCGCTGCTGCCTGCCTCCGACCTTAAGGCGCGGCGCTGTAGGTCCTGCAGTTCCCGGAGCAGCTGGATCTGCAACGGATTCGTCACCGGTCGCAATATCCCCGCGAATCCTGGTTCGTGACGGGTTCCGGATGTACCGGGATTCTCCTCAGCGTACGGCGAATCCGTGTCTGGTGGATAGCTGTCTTCGGTTTCCTCTAGTGTGCCTTCGTTCCTCTCCGTTGAGTCAAACGTCTGGGTTGCCTCCTCCGCGTTTTCGGCCTCGTCGGACTGTCCTGCCTCCTGCGCTTGAAGCAATGGTTCCTCCTCTCCATCTTCCTCCTGCGTACTGGCCCCTTCGTAGATCGCGGGACCCCGCTCCCTTAAACCTACTCCGCTTGTCGACGGCCCGTCGCGTTTCGGTCGCTGAGTAACCTGGAGCTCCGGGTTGCCGTCTAGTGCTTCCCCTCCTGATCTCTTTGACTGATAACTTTTACTCGCTGGCTGTTTCAGCTTCCTTCGGAGCTCTTCCTTCGCTTTCCCCGAGAGTTTTACGTTCGAGATCACCCTTGGCTTTGCCTTTTTTTCCGCTCTTCGTTCTGGCGTCCCGCTCTCTTGTCCATTTTCGATATTTTTAGGCCCTTCATATCTCTTGTATTCCTTATACTCATCGCAACTTAAGCTGGCTGTAATTTTTCTAAATTCGTTTTTTGCCTGCAGTTCCAACTCCTCATATTCTTTCTGCAACTTTTCCATTCTTGCGGACTCGTCGCCTCGTGCCAAGGTCAGTTGCACTTTCCATCTCTGGGCTTGTTGGGCCCTTTTCCTCATTTGATAGATCTGCGCTACCAGGGTCTCCCTTTCCTCTCGCAGTGGCCGCACTTCTTCTAACGTCTCTTTCAAATCTCCCATTGCCTCATTCAGCTCATCTATCAGGGTCCCCAAAGTTCCCACACTGCGATGGTAGTCAGCCGCTCGCTCATCGGCCATCTCTTGCTGATACCTATAATAGTAAATAGCACATTAGTCAGCTATTGGTGTTGTCCAAATTACTGATTTGGAACATGACACAAAATATTAGTTTTTGTTTTATGATATTTCTCTCCCTGCTCTTCCATCAGGTTTTAACCGTGGCTCCCTGTGTGGCCTCAATTGCCTAGTATTGAATGTCCCCATTACATTACCATACTCGTCATTTATCATATAGACGTTTGGCCTAATTATTTCCGATACTACATAAGGCCCCTCGTAAATCGGAAACAATTTTTTCGACAAACTTTTGCCCTTTTCGGATTTTCGGTGGACTCTCAACCAAACTCGAGTACCCACTTCATATTCTGGTGCTGACAGTTTCTTCTCTGCCTGTTTCCTTCTTTCCGCGGCTCTTTTCCGCAATGTTTCCCGAGCTATTTCTATATCACCTAGCCTATCGCGTTCCGGTTGATTCATCGGTAGTAGCCGTTCATCAATCCGTATCGACATTCCCATGTTCTCATGTAAATCAATCGGCCGCAACCCCGTGCTACGGTGAGCCGTCGAATTTATAGTCCTTTCCAATCGCGGAATTATCTCTCTCCACCGCGTCTGACGCCTAAACGCGTATGCGCGTATTACTCGCCCTATTTCCTTCATTACCCTTTCTACTGGATTCGACTGTGGATTGTAGGGTGATGTGTGTCGCATGACTATTTCATTTACGACACCATAATTCATCCACCGAAATGCGGTGAATTGACTTCCCTGATCGGATAATATTTCTCTCGGCTTGCCTACTTCCGGAATGTACCGCTCGTGCAGATTCTCAATTATCGTTTCCAATTTATGGTTTTTCATCGGATAGAGCTTGGTCAGCTTTGAAAAATGATCGAGCATTACCAGAATATATTGATACCCGCTACTATCCGCTGGCAAAGGTCCATAGATATCAATGGAAACTGTATGGCCCGGAGCCTCGGGAAGCTCATAATAATTGACTCCTTCGGTCGGCCTTGTGTACATCTTTGTGGCAATACATGTAATACATGACGCGACTACATCCCTTACTATTTTATCTATATTCTGTATCATGAAATATCGCTCCGCGAAGTCTTTGGTTTTGTCGGTACCAAAATGTAACAACAACTTATGTATTCGCCTTATTAGCTCCCACGCGACCTTTTTCGGAACCGTTATTCTTTCTTCCCCGTTCGCGTTCCGGCATCGCACCAAACCCTCGCGCTCGTAGAACCTTTCGGGGTTTCGCTGCGTTTTAGCTTGCAACTCCGCGCATTCCCTCTGCGCTTGTCTAATTAGATTATACCACAAAGTAGTATCTTCTCCTTCTTCGCGATTCGTGATCATTCCAATTATCTTCGCGTGATCCTCGCATTTATATGGCGAATCCTTAGCATACATGCGTGACAAGGTGTCCGCCACGTCGTTCTGCTTTCCGGGGACATGTTCTATCTCGAGCTCGAATTCCTGAAGGAATTCGAACCATCTGGCAATTTGTGCGCTGTGTTGGGTGCACGAACTCAAAAATTTCAGTGCCTTATGGTCGGTATGGATCCTCACCCGCCGGCCCATTAACAACGTGTGCCATTTCCTTAAACTCCACACTAACGCCAAACATTCCAGCTCGGTGATCGTATAATTAGCTTCTGCTCCTTTCAGACTCCGGCTCGCATATGCCACTGTGAACTTCCGCCCATCCTCATCGTACTGGTAAAGCCTAGCACCCAATCCGTGTGTTGATGCGTCTATATAAATCCCAAAAGGCCGCCCTGGTTTTATCAGACAAAGGTTTTCTGCGTCTTGAAACGCCCTCTTGATTTCTACAAAGGCTTTCTGCTCCCTTTCGGTCCATACGAATTTTTTGTCCTTTTTCAACAATTCCTCCAATGGCTTCGTCATCCTGGCTAGATTCTTGATAAATCGCCTTTCCCAGTTCAACAGTCCTAAGAATGACTGTATCGCTCTTTTATTCCGCGGTCTGGGGAAATTCACTATAGCTGTTTTTGTTTCACTTACAATTTCGGCTGATATTTCGTTAAACGTATGCCCCAAGAACGTGATTTCTCTCTTCATGAATTGACATTTTTCTTTGTTGAGTCTGAATCCTCGTTCTTGTAATTTTCTAAACACCGTTGCTAAATGTTCCAGATGTTCCTCAATTGTATTGGATGCTACCAATATGTCATCCAGGTATACGATCATGGAGTCCGAATTCTCTTCTCCCATTGCTAAGTTCATAGCCCGCGTAAACGACGCACCTGCTGTTTTCAATCCAAACGGCATCCTTCTAAATACATAGGTTTGATTGGCGATAATAAATCCCGTATACCTTTTACTCGACTCCTCCAGTGGCACCTGCCAAAATGCTTTCGTTACATCTAGCGTGGTAAAAAATTTTTTGTGCCCAATCCTCCGGAACACCTCATCGATCGTCGGTGGCTGTGCGTGGTCATTTACCATTCGTTTATTTAGTTCTCTTGCGTCCAAGCATAACCTTATTTCCCCCG